CATGAGGACAGGAGTTTGCACTGCCAGTCTAGCGGTGGACAGTTTGAATCTACCAGCTGAGGGAGAAAAATAGACAATTTCCTCTTGTGTCATTTATAGCCTCTGAAAATCCTTTTAGGCGGTCAGCTATGAGTTGGTTCCGACGCGATGGTAATGAACGAGTCCGGCTTCCAGCGTGATCGATGGTTGAGAAGTCCTGTACCATTTACGATGCCGAAGTCTGCTTAAGTGGCATTTTAAAAACACTGGAAGCATTTAGGATTTTCCGCCTTCATCCTTGTGGCCTCCTCTTTCTCCTTCTCCTCCTCCTCCTCTTCTTCCTTCTTTTTTCCTTTTCCTTCTACTCATCCCTCTGCTTTGTATTTCTTCTCCTTCTTCATCTTTGTTCTCTTTATCCCCACTTCCTCCTCCTTCTTCTTTAAAATATCACAATCATGTGCCTTTGTTGGGTTTTTTTTGCCACCAAGTTGCCCATGACTCAAAGCGACCCTGCGTACAATAGCTCTGAATCCTGCCCTATCCTGAGCCAATCTCACTGTCTCTGAGACACCTGCTTCCAGTCACAGTGTCAATACATCCCATCTGGGGTCTTCCTCTCTTACACTGTCCTTCCACCCTTCCAAGAATGGTGTCCTTCTCCAAGGATAGTGCCCCCCAGCCACGTGTCCAAAATATGTGAGACAGAACTTCAAAATTCTTGCCTCCAAGGAGCAGCTTGATTTTACCATCACCAAGACAGACCTGTTTGTTCTCTTGCCGGTCTGTGATATGTCCAACACTCTTCTCCAGCCCCACAACTCAAAGGCATCAACTCGTCTTCTGTCATCCTTAGTCATTGTCCAGCTCTCTGATGCATAGCAGGTAATTGTGAAGACCATGGCCTACATCAGGCATACCTTAGTCTCCAGACTGACATCTTTGCTCTTTAGCATTTTGGAGAGGTCCCGGACAGCAGTTTCCCCAGCGCAATTCATCTTTTGATTTCCTGAGTGCTGGTGCCAAGATTGTGGGGTCGAGCAAGCTGAAATTGTTAACAATCTCAATCTCTTCTCCATCCATCATGGTGCTTCCAATTAGCCCATTGATGAGAATCTTTGTCTTCATGAGGTTGATGTTTATTTATTTTCTTGTTCTCTCAGTGGACACTTTCAATCTAGAAAGTCAAAGTCTTCTAGATGTTCTTGGAATTAAAAAAATATGATCTGTTTTCTTTTTTTAGAACTCTTAGTTTTCAATTGTTGGCTAATTTTCTTATCGATGTTCCCCATTTTTTACATATATTTGTGAGGGTGAAATCAAATTTGTCCTTGGAAGCTAGGATTTTGAAGCTCCATCACACATACTTTGGGCACACGGCCAGGAGGGACCAGTCCTTGGAGAAAGACATCACGCTTGGAAGGGTGGAGGGACAGTGCAGGAGAGGAAGACCCAGGATGAGATGGATTGACTCAGTGACTGAGGTAATAAGAGTATGTGTGTCAGAGACACACAGATTAGCTCAGGATAGGGTGGGTTTCAGAGCTATTGTGCACACGGTCCTTACGAATTGCAGGCAACTCGATGGCACATAACTACAACATAGACACACATTTCTAGGCAGGACCTGTGTGCTTCTGGATAAAAGTCTCATCATCAAACTTCTCCCCGTAGATAAATTTGCCACCAGTACTGTTACGGTGTGTAAAGTCAGCCCCCCTGGCACATAAACCCAAGGAATGATTCTGTGAAAGCAGGAACCCTTGAAATCAAATCCTTTCTCCCCAGTACTCAGAACTTGGAAGTTTTCTACTGTCTTTGGGATTTTATCAGCAAACGGCTAGAAGGAGACGCGTCCTCAAGGTTCGCCACTGACTGTGGTGTCAAAGTACACGATGGGACTGACCATGATTGGATGGTGAGCAGAGCAGACGAGGGTGCCACTGAGGACACTGCAGCCGCAAAGCTGGACTGCTTGTTTGAGTGATTTTTCTTTAAACAGTGTGTTTTTATGTTTATCAAGGGCCTCATTTGGGGCCTTCTGATCTTCTGGTTTTCAGATCCTGCCTGGGTGAACCCGGAAAGGATGTCAGATTGCTAATGGAAAGGTTGGCAGTTTGAACCCCCCAGCCACCCTGAAGGAGCAAGATGAGACATTCTGCCCTCGTTAAGATTTACAGCTTCAGAAACCCGATGGAGGGTCACCGTGGGTTGGAAATCACTCAGCAGCAGTGAGCTGGATTTGGTTTGGGGCCAAGGTGGAAACTTTAAGCTGTGGAATTCATTAGGGAACCAGTTCCCAGGACACAGAAATGCACATGGGAAGAGGTGGGCCCAGAAGTGCAGGCAGCAAAGCTCAGACAGTGAGCCGTCAGTGCAGACAGGGACTTCGGCTAAGAACCAGCCCCAGTCAGTGGACGTCCAGTCAGGGAAAGGCCTGGGCAGGGGCAGCTGGGAGCAAAGTGGTTTGAGGGTCAATCCAGAGGTGAGTGAGGGAGAGGGTGAGAGAGAGGTTGAGTCTCTTGAGTCAAGGTCATGGTTGGGAGTTGGGGCTGCCAAGAGCTCAAGACAAAGTACAGTCACTGGTAAATTTAAGAGGCTGGAAGAGGGACTGGGAATGTCACGCTTTTATCCCAAGTTCAGATGGGGCCTCTAGCCTCAGGACCCCACCTTGGCTGTCTGGCATCCTTCCTCATCTCATCTAGAGTTTGGTTTGAGTCTTTGTTCCTCTCTTTCTCTCTCCAGGTCTCTAGCCTCCTCTCTCTCTGCCCATGTCCCCGTCTCACTTTGGGTCTCTGTCCACCCCCTAGGTCTCTGGTTCCCTTTCTTTCTCTGGTGGTCTCTCTCTCTCTCTCTGGGTCTGTATCCCCTCTACCCTTTCTCTCCAACCTCTCTGTCCCCCTCTTTAACTGGGTCGCTATTTCCCTCTCTCTCTAGGTCTCTGTCCCCTCTCTCCTCTCTCTGGGTCTCGGCCTCTCTTTCTGGGTCTCAAACCCCCTCTGTCACCCTTTCTCTCTGGGTCTCTGTCACCCTCTCTCTCTGAGTCTTTGTCCCCTTCTTTCTCTGGATCTCTGACCCTCCCTCCTCCACCTCTCTGGGTCTCTGTCCCTGCATCTGTGGGTCTGTCCCCTCTCTCCTCTCTTTGCGTCTCTGTCTACCTCTCTCTTTGAGTCTCAGTCTTTCCCACTTCTCTCTGGGTCTCTGTCCCTGCATCTCTAGATATCTGTCCCTGAATCTCTGGGTCTCTGTCTCCTCTCTCTCTCTCTGAGTTTCTGTCCGCCGCTTTCTAGGTCTCTGTCCCCTTCTCTCTCTGAGTCCCTCTCCTCCCTCTCCCTGCTCACTGTCCTCCAGTCCCTGCTCCCCTCTTTCCTTCTCCCTGGTTCTTTCTCCTCTTCTCTGAGTCAGTCTCTCTCTCGTTCTCTGCCTCGTTCTCCACCCCTCACTCTGCCCCTATGCTGCTTTGCAGAGCCTGAGTTGAGAACCCTCTCTCCCTCTCTGCCAAACCCCTGCTCCTCGTCTCCCCAGGACACGGAGGGACGCAGAATGAGAAGAAGTCTGGGACTCCGAGCTGCCCAGTGCCAGGGCTCTCCTGCTGCTGTCCCCTGTCCTTTCTCCATCGGGACACCTTGGCATTCTCATCCTCCATCTCCATCTCCTCGTCCCTTCCCATCAGTCTGGCTGTTTTCATCTGTCTCTCTCTATCTCCCTGTTCTGCATCCGTCTCTTTCTTCTCTTTTTCTTCCATTGCAGCACCATTTTACCACCCCATGCCATCTTCATTGCTGAGAGTCGGTGTGAGTGCACGCGCATGAGCATCTGTGAGCATTTCCACCTTTTCAGTCTCTCTCTGTTTCTCTTTCTCTGTATCGGCTTCTATCTCATCTTCCTCTCCTTCCCTCTGTTTTTCTCTCTCCTCTCCCCACAAACTTCTGTCTTTTTTTTTTTTTGCAAAGAGTTTAAGTAAATACCTGTTTTAATAAAAAAAATCTTTTATAGCAAAGATTTATGGTTTACAATGATCACACAACTGGTATTTTGTACTTTAGTACTTTTTGATGCCGTGTAATTTCATATTTGATCTGAAACTTCTGTCTTTGTTTTCTTCTTTCTCTGCCCTAATTTCCGACCTCTGTTTCCTCATCTGCCTCCGCTTTTATCTAATTCAATATAGAACATTAAGCTCCGATCTCAAGCAGCCCAGTATCTTTTCTCTAGCTTGATCTCCATCTCTCTCTCCTTTTTACAGGTTTCTCTCTCTCTCTCTCTCTCTCTCTCTCTCTCCCCCCCCCCTGTGTGTCTGTACTTCTTTTACTCTGCCTCCCCACTTTCCTATTTCACTTTTCTTTCATTTCCCCAGACTCTCTCTTCCCTGGGGCCACCTCTCTGTGTGTCTTTCTGTCCCTCCTTCTCTCAGTCCCTCTCAGCATCTTCTTCTGAATCTGAAGTTACCCCCTCCACCTCCTCTTCCTCACTGTGTCACAACGGAAGAGGAAACCTCTCCTGCCCACCCTGCCCCGGGGTCCCCCTCCCTGGATTCCTCTCCCATTATATAACATCTTCCCTGCTGGGTGTGTTCTCCTTAACAATTGCGGGCTGCTTCTCTGGTTAGAGAGAGGAGGGAGGGAATGGGACCTGGGAGTCCTGGAATGGGAACTCGCTAATAAAAAAAATTAAAAAAAAAAAAACAAAGTCAGGAGAAGAGCAGGGGGCAGGGCCAGTCAGACAGAGGAGGGATAAAAGGTGGCCAGGAAAGAGAGAGCCACTCCCGCTTCCGCCACCAACAAGGCTGGTGGGACCCAGTCCTGCCCAGCATCTTTCTCTTTTGCCACCCAGGAGGCCGCTGGGCCCTGCCCTCTTACTCTCTCTGACCTCTCCTTCTCTCTCCCTATCTCCGTGTCTCTCAGGATCTTGCTGAGGCAACTGACTGTTTCTTCTCAGACAGATCCTTTTTCAACCTTGTCCTCTCACAGTTATTCTCTCTCAGCATTTTTTTTTTCCAGAACCTTCTCCCCCACCCCCCTAGAATGTTATTCCTGCTGACAGCACTTCAAATCCTGGCCATAGGTAAGAGGACGTATCGTATCGTATCATATCGTATCGTATCGTATCGTATCGTATGGGCTGGGGATCCCTCAGAAACTGTGCTATTTGTAGGTAGGTTGGTGAGAACGAGACAGAGGAGTGTGGGGATTGATTCCTGACTGTGGAGTGTGGTGGTGGGGACCCAAGTTCTGAGTCGGAGATAGCAAAATTGTGGGCATGGGGCTTGGAGGCGACAATCAGTGAGGGAGAAATAAGTGAGACTTTGTGGAGTTGTGGAGAAGGATGGATAGCAGGGACTCAAGGCATTTTTACAACTATGTTAGAAAAGAACAAATGTGGAATGTTGCCTGAGGAGAGGTGTGTCAAGGAAGACGATTTGGTGAATACAATGAGTGTCGGGTGAGATGATTAGTTCCTGGGGTTTATAGTGACTGGTTGAAAGCAGGACACGGCCTCCAGAAACTCTATGAACTTAGATAAATGTCAATAGTTGTAGAGGGGCTCCAGGCCTTTTGTTCATAGGGTCGCTATGAAGTGGTGCTCAATTCGACAGCACTCAACAACTACCACCACCACATAGTGACTGGAAGGTTCTAGAAAGGACAGGGAACTCCTTGGATGTGTTGGGGAAGAACCATGAGAAGGGAAACATGGCTTATTGTGAACGGTGGTGACAGAAAACAAATAGGGGAGAATGGAGTGAAAGGTGTTTATTTGTTGTACCCAGAATCTGAATGAGGAGTTGGGGATAGAGTAGATTCTGGGGAGGTCTCTATAGTGCCGGTGCTGGTGGTTGGGGAAATCGGAAGACTCTCTGTTTGCATAGGTCAACAGTAGAGGTAAGGTGGGGCATATCTCTCTCATTGAGTAGGGCAGATTGAAGTGGGTACTTTGCAGGCTAAGTGGAAATAAAGAGAACGTCATAACCTTAGATTCCTAGAGAACTGGAGAATGAAATCTTTGTTCCTCTGCTTTTCCAACCCAACCCCACTCCTAATTCTAGCCATGGTACACGGCCAAGATGATGAGAACAAGATAATTGGTGGGTATCCGTGCATCCAGAACTCCCAGCCATGGCAGGCAGCCCTCCTGGCGGGCCCCTGGCGCCGCTTCCTCTGCGGGGCAGCCCTGCTGTCGGACCAGTGGGCCATCACTGCTGCTCACTGCGCCAGGCCGTGAGTGACCTCTCCCTTGGCGCTAAGAGCACCCCAAGAAGCTAGGACTTTGGGGAAGCTTAGCTGAATACCGGAAGCCTTACTTAAAAGCCAGTGTAGACTCAAGGCCTTGGTTTGGGATTTAGGTATGATTCTGGACTGATAACACAGCCTCAAATTTTGACCTCAGTTTAGATTCTGAAAATGGATAGGCAGTTGAGAATCCACAGGCTGGTCTTACACACAGAGCCTAAACCTGACACCGAACTGGGAAATCCATTCTGACCCAAGACTCTGCATATAGTCGAATGTTTGGGATTTGAAATCAGTGTATAGTCTACAGTCAAGAAGTCAAAACCTTCCTCAGAATGCTGCCTAGAACTGTGAACCCAGTTGAGAAACAGCCATAAATCCAGAAGAGACAGAGATTTCCTAGCAAGTACTGGGGAACCTGCAGTATGAGTTCTGAACATAGACTAGAGAATACAACCTTTCAGTGGTACTTTCTTTATGCAAGATTTAATTCATGATTAATCTGCAGTCCTTCTTTGAACAACTTAGGACTAAGTATCTAAAACTCAGATTGCAGAGCAGAGATTGAATCCCAGATGCTATACTTAGAATCCAGACCTTGGCCTTGAAATCAAAGACTAGACTAAATCACCCAGTGACTCTAAAACCGGATCTAATGCCTTAACTTGAACTTCAGTCTAGAGGCCAGAATTCGTTTCACCTCAGTGAACGCGAATCCAAATATACAAAGCAGCATCCACACTGTGAATTAGAGCCATACCCTGGATCTGTGCTCGGAATCCAGACAGAGCCCAATCCGATGTCAAGATCTCAGACCAGAACGAGTGTAGAAGCCAAGAGCCGAGACTCTTGTTCTCATTGCAGTGCAGTCAGAACCGACTCGCCTCTGGGCTTCTGTGACTATAAATCACGTGCGAGGTGACTGCCCGTCTTTCTCTCATGGAGTTGCCGGTTGCAATATTCCCTGTTGGCTACAATGCCAGGGCTCTCAAGTTGAGACCGAGCGGCAGTGTACTCTGATCAACGCTCTTGGAGAATTTGGTTGTGCTGTTAGCCAAGGGCTGTGTGCATCTCAAGAGGTTCAATTCCACCAGTGAGTGGCTCCGTGAAAGAAAGATAGGCAGGTCCTCCCATTAAGATTGACAGCCTAACTGCAATCCCAGGGGAACACGGTTCGAATCCACCAGATGCTCTGCCGGAGAAGGAGGTGCAATATCCTCCTGTACCAGTCAGATCTGATTTGACGGTATACGCACACAAAATAAAAAATTTTTTAAAAAAAGATTGACAGCCTAGACAACCCAATGGAGGCAGAATCAGCTCAGTAGCAGTGCATAGAATAAAAATGTCAGATCACTAGTTCAAACCGTGAGTTGAGCTGAAGCACAGAGCTCAGGTCAGTGTCTAAAACTTGGGTCATAAAGCGGACCTTAATTGAGAACCCAGAGCTCAACCTAGAATCTGATATCTAGGTCCTAATTACTCATTAACGAATATAGAATGCGGAGCCTACCCTAAAACATAAAACTCAAACCCATATCTGGAACGCACACACATAAATCATTACACAGAGCTCAAAACAGAGCCCTTCATCTGCACTAAAAAAAAGGAAAACTCACATTTGAATCTAGAACTTGTGTTATTTGGACCCACTCTAGAGCCCTGATTTATTCCTATAGCCAACTTTTTTTTTATTTCTTTCTGTGTGTGTGTGTGTGTGTGTGTGTGTGTGTCGTCAAATCAGATCTGACTGGTACAGGAGGATATGGTCCCTCCTTCCCCGGCAGAGCATCTGGTGGATTCGAACCACGTGCCTCTGAGATTGCAATGCAGGTTCTTGCCACTAGGCCACCAGAACTCCCCTTATAGCCAACATTTTAAATTGTCTGGAGTTTAGAACTCAGACCTTAGAGGGCTGGAATTGCCCACCTCCAAAATATCACGTATGATCTAGAATTTAGAGTCACAGCACAGAGTCAAGGATAACTCAACACAGACTCTTGATCAAGAACTCAACAGTCGTTATTTTACACCCACGCCAGAGACAGAGAAAAACTCGAGAGAGGGAGGTGAGGAAAGTAGAATTGAATCAACACAGAATGCCCCAGGGAAAGGACCCGGGAGTCAAGGACATGTTCAGCCACAGTGTATTATGGTTGGGTGCCCCTGAGCTGGTTCCGAGTCACAGTGCCCCCTTGTGGGTCAGGGTTGAATGACCTCCTAGAGTCGTCTTGGTTCTAATGGCCATGGGAAGACCTTGGTAGTGCAATGGTTAAAGTGTCCAGCTGCAAACCAAAAAAACTCAGTGATTGAAGCCGACCAGCTGCTCTGTGGGAAAACAATGGGGCAGTCTGTTTCCATAAAGATTAAGAACACCACCATCAAGGGAGCTCTGGTGGCATGGTGGCAAGAAGCTGTACTGCAATCCCAGAGGTCCGTGGTTTGAATCCACCAGATGCTCTGCTGGAGAAGGAGGGGCAAGCTCCTCCTGTACCAGTCAGATCTGATTTGACACTACGCCCGCGCACACACACACACACACACACACACACACACACGATTAAATTAAAAAATTAAGAAAAAAAATTTTTTTTAAAGAACACCACCATCACCGCCAGCTCCACTGCTGTGGAGTGGATCTTGACTTACAGTGGGCCCCCACCCCGTTTCCGAGGCTGGGAATCTTTATAAGAGATAGCCCACCCTTTTCCCAAAGGACAGCTTGTGAGTTCCAACTTCCAACCTTTTGGTGGTGGTCGTTTTTGGGTACCACCGAGCCAGAGTCAACCCATACATAGCTGACCCTCCGGCGGGTTTTCAGAGGCAGTTAATCACACAGGAATAGATTGCCCATCCAGCTGGTAGATTTGAACCGAGTACCTTTGGGTTGCCAGTGTGACTCTTTAACACTAGTCCACCGGAGCTCCCTAACGTTTTGGCTGGCAGACTGATATGTCACAAGGTGTATGCTGCTGGGGCTCTTTTGTAAAGATTTACACAATAGAGTATTAAACACTAAAAAAAAAACACCACACAAACCAACAAAGAATTCACAAAACGCTGCATGTGGACATGTACCGAGGACATGTGTTAGGTGAAATCAGTGAGTCACAGAAGGACTCTTACAAAAGAAAATCATTCTAAAATGAGGAGCTTTGGTGGCCTGGCGGGTAAGGCATTGTGCTCCCAGCCCTAAGGTGAGCAGTTCAAATCCACCGGCTGCTCTGAGGGAGAAAGATGGGCAAACCCCTCCAGCGGGATTAGAGCCGTGGAAAAACGTGTTAGAGGGTCAACTGTGAAGTCAGTACCCACTCGATGGCAACGCACAACACCAATTCTTAAAAAAAGATGAAGGGAGGTTTGACTCTAGAATCCTCCCTGGATGTTACCAGGGATGGAAAGTGAGAGAGAGCGGGGCGTAAAATTGAATAAAAAGATCAGCTGAATAAACAGGTACATTGGCCGAAGGGAAAAGACAATATATAATAAGCAGCAGAGCGGACATTTAATTAAGTACATCAATCAATTGCAGTTATTGGCCAAAACCCAAATGGGTTTAAATAATCAAATGAAACTCTCACTACAGTGTTATTTGGGGGGAAACATTTACAGCCTCAGAAGCGGTACACAGCAGTTCTGCTCTGTCCCTCCGGGTTGCTGAAATCAGTATCGCCTACATGAGAGCGAATCTGATGATTTTTAGTTCTGGAGTCTACGGAAGCAGATTTCCAGGTCTTTGTCTCTCGAAGCTGGGGAGTGGGTTCAAATCTCGACCCTTTCGGTTAGCGGCAGAATGCTTAGCTGTTGCGCCCCCAGGGTTCCTTGCAGCAGAGGGGAGTACGTCAGGCTTGGAGGAGAGCTCATCTGCAGGGCTGGGGTGACTCTGGGGGGCGGGTCAGGTTGGGGTGGCACTGGGAGTGGGGAGGGGGTCTCTGGAAAAGACGATGAGCAGGACTGTTTTTGGGGTTCCGGGGCCAGGATGCTTCGAGTAGCGCTGGGCAAACACAACCTCAAGAGGTGGGAAGCCACGCAGCAGGTGTTGCGGGTGGTCCGCCAGGTGCCACATCCCTGTTACAACGCGCGCACCCACGACAACGACCTGATGCTGCTGCGCCTGGAGCAGCCCGTGCGCCTGGGGAGGGCCGTGAGGCCCATTGCGGTGGCCCAGGCCTGTGCCAGGCCCGGGACCTCGTGCCACGTGTCCGGCTGGGGCACCACCTCCAGTCCCATTGGTGAGGGAGTGGACTCCTGCATCCTGGAAAGGGGGAGGTGGGGGGTGGGCCCTGGGTCTGAGGGAGGAGGGATTGGGGTGAGAACTCCTGGATCTGAGGGAGGGTGGGGTTGGGTTTGAGGACTGCTGGGTCTGAGGGAGGAGGGGATAGGGAGTGAGGACTCCAGAGTCTGAGGGAGGAGGGGCTAGGGAGTGAGGACTCCAGGGCTTAAGGGAGGAGGGTGTGTGGGCTGGGCCTTCCAGGTCTGAGAGAGAAACAGTCTGTGTCCAGGACTCCTGGGTCCTCTCAGGGGCAGACCAGCCATAACCCCACAATGTCCCCCCAGCCAGGTACCCCAATACCCTGCAGTGTGTGAACATCAACATCTCCTCTGACCAGGAATGTCGCCAGGCCTACGATGGTGCCATTACAGAGGGCATGGTCTGTGCCGGGGTCCCTCAGGGCGGCAAGGACTCGTGCCAGGTGAGGCTCTTTGTGGAAACTGGGCATCAAGTAGGGGTGGAATTGCAACCCCAAGTGGTCTCAGAAACACGAGAGTGAGGAGGGGTCAAGAGAGGAGAGGAAACTCCAGGGGCTGAGAGCAACTCCCGCTTGGATGATCGACCTCACCCCTTGAGGACTCCGTGTTCTCATCTGTCAAGTGGGTATATTGCCTCTTTGGGTGGCTGGTGGAATCAGATGTCGTCAGGGGGAAGCAAGGACAGAAAGAGACAGTGACGAAGAGACGGAGAAGGAGGGAAATGACTCCAACCAGGACGCCTCCTGGTGGTCAGCCCTGGTTGGCAGCCGGCCTCCCTATCTCTGCACTCAGCGCACCACATCCCTGGCTCTGGTCATCTGTCAACAGTGTCTGCATGTCTGTCTCTCCCCTTCAGGGTGACTCTGGGGGACCCTTGGTGTGCAGAGGTCAGCTCCAGGGCCTCGTGTCCTGGGGGATGGAGCGCTGTGCCTTACCTGGTTACCCCGGGGTCTACACCAACCTGTGCCGATACTACAACTGGATCCAGGAAACCATTCGGGGCAACTGATCCTCGGTGTGACCCCGCCTTCAGAGCCCCTCGCATTTCCCCAGCCCCTCTTCCCTCAGACCCTGGAGTCCTGTCTCCCAGCTGCTCCTCCTTCAGACCTGAAAGTCCAGATGCCCAACCCCTCCTCCCTCAGATTGGAAGACCTGAACCCCAGTCCCTGCTCCCTCAGATCCTGGAATCCTCACCACCTGCCCCTCTTCCCCCAGAACCTAGAGTCCCAACCCTATCATCCAATTTCTTTATTTCTAGGCCCAAACTTGCATTTCACAGAAGAATTCCTTCAGGTGTTCTCTGTCCCCTTTTCCTCCTTCATCCTTCCCAAGCAGGGCATGAGCAGACACCCTGCAGAACCTTCTGTGTCTCTGCAAAGCAGCCCATTCTCACAATAAATGGAATGATCCCACGTTTCATCCATTTGTCCATTTCACTCCTTCCACTGGCCAGTGCACAGTGACCCCAAGGGGCCCTAGTCGGGAGCTGCGTCACAGCACGTGGCCCACTCTGTTGTGTGTTGTACCTGGGCTTCTGCTTCCTCCACTGTGGACAGGGTTCCACTTAGAAGAAAAGATTCTCCTCTCCCTCTCTCATACCCAGGAGTCCTCGGCCCCAGGCCCCTGCTGTCTAACTGTCGGGGGGGGGGGGTCTCAACCCTCTGAGCCTCGTCTCTGGGTCCTGTGAGCTGGAGCTTTAGAAAACAAGGATTGTTGTTAAATGTCATCAAGTCAACTACAACTCATAACATTGAGATGAACAACAGATCTAAACCTCCCCCTACCCTGCACCATGCACACCATCTCCGAGATGCTCAAAGCCATTGTTACAATCACTGCATCATTTCATCTTGTTGAGAATCTTTTTCTCTCTGACCTTCCACCTTTCCCAGCGTGTTGTCTTCTTCCAAAGATGAGCCTCTCCTAACAACATGCCAGAAGAATGTGAGGTGAAGTTTTACCATCCTTTGCCTCTAAGGAGCACCCTCGTTGCACTCTTAGCAAGATGGACTTGTTTGTTCTTTTTTTTGACAATCCATGATATATTCAATCCTCTTCTCTAACACCACAATTCAAAGGCATCATTTCTTCTTCTGTCATCTTGACTTATTGTCCAACTTTCATAGGCATAGGAAGCAATTGAAAAGACCATGGCTTGGATCAAGTGTACCTTGGTCTTTAAAAATAAAGGGTTGTTGCTGTTAGGTGCAGTTGAGCCAACCATGAATTCCAGTAACTAACAGCTCTGAATGTTACACTATTCTGTGCCATTCTTATCATCTCTGATAATCTTGAGCTCATTGATAGATTGTCACCGTATCAATTCATCTTGTTAAGGGTCTTTCTCTCCTTCACTGGCCCTCCAACTTTCCAAGACTGCTGTCTTTCTCCGAGGACATGTCCAAAATACGTGAAAGGAAGCTTCACCATCCTCACCTCTAAGGAGCACTCTGGTTTCACTGCCCCAAACTCATGGTCATCCAGTTGGAACCAACACATAGCTGACCCTTTAGCAGGTTTTCAGAGGCTGTAAATCATGTAGGAAAAGATTGCCCCTCTTCCTTGGATCTGTGAGTGGATTCCAACAAGCAGAGATGCACTCTCTTAGGAGTAAAAACACAGCTTCCTATAGACTACACCATCAAGGACCTACATTGTTGTTGTTTCCACTCAACACCTACAAAGAAACAAGCAACCAAATCCACTACCGTTCTGTTGATTTCGCCTCATAACCACCAGATAAAGCAGAACAGCCCCCCTGAGGCTAGTATTTAGGGAAGCAGACAGGGCTGCTGTTGGGTTCCAACCATCGACCATTTGGTTGACAGACAAATGTATTGACCATTGTGCGACCAAGTTCCTTAGAACTTGCCTATTTCCCTGAAAAAATTTTTTTTTAAAAACCCCCATGATGTAAGGAAAGAAGATGTCTTTTGTCTCCCCATCTTCAAGCCCAGGTGGTAGGGTCTAACATGCCTGGTGATTGGAACCCACCATTGGAGCCCCCGGAGAAAGCCAGCTGATCTCTTCCTGTGCTCTCCCAGCCTGACAAAGGCAATGGAAGGTCAGCTAGGAGTAGGAAGCAACTCCATGGCAGAGTTGGAGGTGTTGTTTTGTTTTGTTTTTTAAGTTTGACTCACTGACATCAGCTCTCAGGTGCGGTGGTGGATAGGTGTCATCAAGTCAAGTATGACTCACAGTAAGTTTATGAACGACAGGTTGTTACCATGTCCTATCCTGCGCTGTGTTCGTGACCTCCACTATGCTAAAGCCCATTGTGGTAGTCACTCCGTCAATCCATCTCGTTGAGTGAGTTTCTCAGCTGAGTTAAACACACATTTGAGTGCAAGTCTTGGCAAAGCCTGCCTCTAGTTTTCCTTTTATTTTGTTTCCACCCTTCCTGCTTGACTCAATTCTTCTCCCTTCCCACAGACACTAACTCCATTGACCTCAAATTTCTGGTATCCCTTGGAAGATATGTGCTGTTTCTACTTTATATGAAACCATTGTATTAGGTACTCATTCTCTGTCTTGCTTTCACTCATCCACGGCTATTTCTAGGATCATTGCTGTACACACCAAGGAGCTCTGGTGGTGGTGTGTAAGGTCAGGAAGATCTCATGGACTACCAAGACAACTACCAAGTCTGTTTTGGGGGAAATGCAACCAGGGTGCTCCTTAGAGGCCAGGATGGTGAAATGTCACCTCATGTGTTTTAGACATGTCATCAGGAGGGGGCCAGTCCTTGGAAAAAGACATCCTGATGGGGATAATGGGGGCTCAGAGAAAGAGAGGAAGATTCTCAACAAGATAGATTGACAGTGACTAGAAGAATGTAGTCATGCATGTAGTCAAGCACATTGGAGGTCATGAGCATGGTGTGGATCATAGGGTGGCTGTGAGTCTTTGTGAAGTCAACAGCACCTAGCAACAACAAGAAGAACTGAAAGGTTGGTGGTTCAAATCTGCCAGTCAGTCTTCAGGAGAAAGACTAAGAGTCTCGACGAAGAGTCTCCCCTTGTAAAGATCTACCACCACAGAAGCATGATGGAAGGGCTCTGTAAATCAAAACCAACTGCATGACAAATTTGTTCTACACTAGGTGCTGATCTAGGAGCTCTGGTGGCCTAACTTGTACAGTGTTGTGTTATTAGCCAAAAGGCTGCATCTCCAGTGGTTCAAATCTTCCAGTTGCTCCAGTGGAGAAAGATGGGTAACCTCTCATTAAGACTTACTGTTTTGGAAACTCAATAGAAGGTCACCTTGAATCAGAATCAACAGCAGTGAGTGAATGAGCGCGGCACTGTTCTACTTGCCAGATGCTGGGTTGCTAACAGAAAAGTTGGCAGTTCGAATTCGCCAGCCGCTTCATGGGAGAAAAATGAAGCAATCTCCTCTTGTTAAAATTCACAGGGTCAGAAATCTGATGGAGCATTGCTATGAGTTGGAGTCAACTTGGTGGTAGTGGTTTTACATTTTAAGTAAGACAGTGAGACTTTGTCTCACATACTTTGGACATGTTATCAGGACATGTCCTAGAGAAAACCATTACGGTTGGTGAAGCAGTGAGTCATTGAAAGAAATCAAAAGATGCTCAGTGAGATGGATTGGCTTAACGGCTATGACAATGCATTCCAACACAACAGAGATTGTGAGAATAGCATTGATTGGCCATTCCACATACTTTGGGCATGTTGACAGGAGGGGTCAGTCTTTGAAGAAGGATCTTAATTTTGTTGTGCATAGGATCATGGTAAGTTGGAACTCCATGGTACAAAACAAAGGGACAGGATGTTAGCATAAGGGCTAGAGGTGTGAATCTATCCACAGGAGCCTCAGAGGAAAGACTTGGTAATCTACTTCTGAAAAACCAGCAATTGAAAAACTCCACAGAGCACAGTTCCATTCAGACACAGTTGACATCATTTCTTGAATCGGAGTCCACTCCATGCCACCTGGCTTTACCTTGCACCATGCACTGCTCTAGGTGTGAGGGATATAGCTGTGTACAAAGCAAACCAAATTCCTGCCCTCCTAGACCTTACATTTTAGCGGAGAGAGACAGGCACGGAACAGTATCTTTATGTCAAAAAATACCAATTATTGCACACTCATTTTATTGCTGTGTTGTTCACAATAGCAAAGAAATGGAAATAACCCAAGTGCCCATCAACAAAAAAATGGATAGAGAAGCTTTGGTATATTCAACAATGGAATACTATGCAGCACTCAAAACAACGCACTCATGAAATATTATACAAAATGGGGGTGACTGTGGAGGACATTATGCTGAGTGAAATATCTCAGTCACAAAAGGACAAATACTGCATAGTGCCACTGTTGTAAAATGGGACTGACATCGAGGCTGGGGGGAGACTGAGAACGATGGGTTAGATTATGTATACTGCATTGAAACAGATAAGGGAGAAAACTGCTTAAAAGGAATATATGATTAGGTATTATTATCAGGACAGGAATCCAGAATGAAGCCTGTATAATGGAGTGGACTTGGGGGGATGGATTGTATAACAAGGGAAGAATTTTTCTTTTACTTTTCAAAGAGAAGAGCGAACTAGGGCGGGGAGGAGTGGGCAGGGATAAAAGTGCAACAATGAATGAATGGAGATCCAAAGTCTTTGTAAACTTTCATTAAAATTAATAATAAAATAAGGGAGCTCTGGTAGTCTAGTGGCAAGAAGCTGCACTGCAATCCCAGAGGAATGCGGTTTGAATCCACCAGATGCTCTGCTGGAGAAGGAGGGACAATCTCCTCCCGTACCAGTCAGATCCAATTTGACGGTACATGCACCAAAAAAAAAAAAAAAAATTAAAAACATTAATAATAAAATAAATACATAAAGAACAAACAACCCCCCCAGTGGTTCCTGTCAAGTTGACTATGACTCAGAGTGACCCTAGAACAATAGATTTGAACCTGTCCCCATCCTCACCATCTCTGCCATGTTCAAGTTCATTGTCACATTCACTGTACCAATCTATCTTGTTAAG